GGAGGGGGGGTTGGCGGCGCGGGGGGGGGGGGCGCATTGTGGAACCTGGCCTTGGGGCGGCAGGGGGAGTAAATCCGGCCCTGCGAACGCCCTGATAGTTTTTGTGTTCGCCAAACACACAAACTGCCGATGTTCGAGTCGAACTCTTGCTTGACTCGAACATTGAGCCCATCCCTACCACTAGTGTCTTGAATTGTCCATTGGCGTCTTATACCTCTAAGTGACTCCAGTAAGGGCATTTATTCAGGAGTTTTTGGGTCCACTAACACACCATGGCCATTATGAAGCTACATGAAGGGTATCACTGCTCCCTAGTCATTCGCTGTCATGTAAAATTAATAGAAGATCCATTATTACTGTTAGCACTATATAAATCCTGTATTATTATTATTAACAATGGAGGGAGGGAGCTGGGTGAGCACTACAGTGGCTAAGTGGGTAGAACTTCTGACTTAGAGCCCTGAGTATTCAGGTTTGAATCCAGATCCAGTCAGGTCAGGTCATTATCTGCATAGACTTTGCATGTTCCCCTAGTAGTTGCATTGGTTTCCTCCCTCACTCCAAAGACACAGTTGTAGAATTGTTGGCTCCTGTGTAAGTTGTTCCTAGTATCTATCTGTGTATATGAAATAGGGACCTTAGATTGTAAGCTCCTTGAGGTCAGGGGAAAATATGTATGAATAGTGTGGTGCTAATAAGTTTTGCCACATGAGGTTCCAAGAGATATATGAAGACAATGGACATCTAGTCATAACGTCTAATTAACGTGATAGTTTTGCATGTCCTTTACAGAGAACCTGTAATGACAGAAATATGGAAGGTGCCATTGCTGATTTATTTTCCATAAATTAATACTAGCACCCTGACTGTCATTCTCATCCCTTTGCTTCCCCAATTAAGGAGTCACTGAGGCAGAGGAGGCATATATATTGGGACACCTGATATCATAGACTGCAATCTTGCTTCCAGTCATTGACTTATTCAGCAATGAAACCATAAATTAAAGCTGAACTCCGGGTAGGTATAAAAGGAACAAATATATGCAGCTCTGCAATCATTAATATGTCAGTAAACTGCAAGCAGTGTAAGTACCTGGATTTGTCTTGGTATTGGCCTCTTGCAGTCCCTGGACAGTCTGTACAGCAGAGTGTGGTGGGGGAGAAGCAGCAGAAGGAGCCAGTCAGATGTTCTGCATTGTAAGAGGTCATGGTGATTTCAGGTGAAAGACTGACAGTGACAGAGAGCTCAATGGTGTGCTGCTTCTCTTTTCATTGTCCAGTCACAGGGTGGGAATATGAGCTGCAAGTGAAAGTGAAACTGCAGTAGACAAAGATCAGGCCCTCTCCACCACTTAACAGTTTTTTTGCTGTGGGGTAGATTTGTGTAAATCTCAGGACAGGATAGGCAGAAGCACAAATTTGGCATGTAACACAGCTCTCATATAAGTATTTGATCTGCGTATTTAGTATTTAGCTTATCACCTGGTCAGCTTTCAACATGAAAGACACATAAATAGAAACCTATAAAAAAGAAAAAAATCCTGAAATATCAGCGCGTATTCTTCTATTGCTAGGGCATTGCTTTATTTTATCTTGTCCATCTTGATATTTGTCCTATATTGCCATATCCATGATTATAATATCAGCAGTCAGAATAATTTCATTATATCTATTCAAAATATATGATGACAGTAAAGTCCACCCAGAATTAGTCACTTTATCTCTGGGGTATCTAAGATTATCGTGGCAATAAAATGGTGACAGTATTATTATTAAATGATACAGATATTATATTGTTTTATCAATTTCTTCATAGGTATGGTTAACCGCACGCCATGAGTCTAATGGTGACACCTTCCAGAGCCCAAGGCATAGATATCATGGAGTCTCACGCTTCTGGCATTGGTGAAATGGAGCCTCCTATTGGTCAAGACTGTGCTCCTCGCTATGACAGGCCTCCTCCCGTTCACAGTGGAGCTGATTGGAAGATTATCTTGCACCTTCCAGAGATTGATACCTGGATCCGGAGCACATCTGAGCGAGTCAGAGGACTCACACAGTCAGTGCACGAGGATCCCCAGAGCAAGCATGTTGATGTGCACTTAATGCAGCTTAAGGTATGAACAAAGAACTGTGTACAGTTCTCTTTTTAATTGGGATCTGTTTTATTATGTTTCTATTTATTTTATTTACAATTGTTGTTTATTTTGTCATTTGCCTTGATTATCTGCCTCTTGTTCCAAAACTTTGTAACCAATTATTTGAGAATGTGTTAAAAGTGGGGGCATGATTTTGTTGGTGTGGCTTCAAATGGGGGCATGGTTTTGTGGGTGTGGCTTCAAATGGGGGCATGATTTTGTGGGTGTGGCTACAAATGGGGGCATGATTTTTGTGGGTGTGGCTACAAATGGGAGCATGATTTTGTGGGTATGGCTACAAATGGGGGCATGATTTTGTGGGTTTGGCTACAAAAGGGGGCATGATTTTGTGGGTGTGGCTACAAATGGGGGCATGCTTTTGTGGGTGTGGCTATAAATAGGGGCATGATTTTGGTTATAAGTGGATGAGGTCATTCATGTGTAACTGAATTTATTCTTCACCTTACTATATACAAATATTCAAAGAAATAGGGAATAGGAGAAAAATGACCTATATAAGTTATGTAACGTATTGGAGTTTTGAGAGGAATAAATGCATCTAACCAGATATATAAAGAACCAATACTAGCAGAAAATAATTGAGATATCAACGTGAACTTTGATGTAGTGAGAATACCTGGGATACTGTAACAGAATACAAAATAGAACAGTTTGCTTTTTTGTCCTAGATGTTAAAGTGATATTAAAGTCAAAATGATTTTCTTTCAAATGCTGATGAAATCACTTACAATGAATGCTGCTCCTTGATGTTTTAGTTTCCTGTAGAATCAGCTGGTCCCCTGAGCAATGGCCCTGATATCCTTTTTAGGGTGGCACTTTTCTCTTGCAGGGTTCTATGGAGCCGCCCTTGTGTTAGTAAGAAAAAACCTGACAGATGTTTTAATCCTTTCCCCGGTCTACCCAAAGCTAAAAAAATGTTTTGGATGTGATCCATCCATTAAAGAGGTTTACATATTTATATGGTTTAAATGTTGCAATCTACGGGAATATCTGTTAAGTATCAGCACTGGTGGATGCTGAGTTCTTGTTCTCCTGAACTACCTAAATAAATTGTCTAGGCATGAGTAGGTTGACCTCTAATAAATGACTAACAGTGTATTTCCTCTCAGCAACTTATCATCTTAAGCCTAAAACTACTAGAGGCCATTTTTGATCACGTGATCATGTGACTGAAATCATGCAATCCCTATTTTAGAATATGATGTAAGAAGGCATTTAGCACATTTCTTGGAATTTCTTGGTCTGTCTTCCTGTGCATGAGCCACAATGCAAGGCTGCAGCAAAAGTACTTCTGCTTTGATTCGCACGTAATGCAGAAAAACCCACAGACAGGAATAGGTTGCCCTTATTAAGTAAGCCTGTACTCTCCAATTTAATGTTTTAAAAGTTAAAGTTCTGAGTATGAACAGACACCATAAGATGTCAGCTATTTCCCTTAATTAGCCAAAAAATCTTCCACTGTGCCCCTCTCTGATTTAGTTGTTTCCCTTTGTTAATGAATCCTAACTTTCCTAGCTAAGATCTACAAACTGCCACCTAAGGTAAGGTAGTCTCAGTAGACAGTCGAATGTGAAACTTTGTTATTGGCACAGAAGAGGCTTTTCTGGCTGATAGTTGTAATACTAGGTATTGTGGGGTATCTCCTCCAGGGCAGGACTTTGCATTTCTAAATATTAAAATAGAGTACAGTATCACATTCTTCCATTTATCACATTCTTCCATTTTCTTCCATCTCAAAGCAGTTGTTCTGGACTTGTGTCATTTTGGAAGTTTTAGGGTCCATTCGCACCTATTAGTTGCAGTGTGTTGCGCAATGTTCCATACAAACATTGCTCACCCCAAAGCACTAAGGCAATGTTCCATGTTAACATGCGACATAATGCATGTCTGTTATCACACCATTATAAGCAGCCTAAGTGAAAATGGGCCCTTTGTGCCTTTAAAGGAGAACTATGAGGTGAGTGCTTTTCACTCACCTCATAGTTCTAGCCGCCCTGTGACAGTCTCATTGTCCCAGGTCGGCTAGAACTATGAGGGGAGTGCTTTTCACTCACCTCATAGTTCTAGCCGCCCTGTGACAGTCTCATTGTCCCAGGTCGGCTAGAACTATGAGGGGAGTGCTTTTCACTCACCTCATAGTTCTAGCCGCCCTGTGACAGTCTCATTGTCCCAGGTCGGCTAGAACTATGAGGGGAGTGCTTTTCACTCACCTCATAGTTCTAGCCGCCCTGTGACAGTCTCATTGTCCCAGGTCGGCTAGAACTATGAGGGGAGTGCTTTTCACTCACCTCATAGTTCTAGCCGCCCTGTGACAGTCTCATTGTCCCAGGTCGGCTAGAACTATGAGGGGAGTGCTTTTCACTCACCTCATAGTTCTAGCCGCCCTGTGACAGTCTCATTGTCCCAGGTCGGCTAGAACTATGAGGGGAGTGCTTTTCACTCACCTCATAGTTCTAGCCGCCCTGTGACAGTCTCATTGTCCCAGGTCGGCTAGAACTATGAGGGGAGTGCTTTTCACTCACCTCATAGTTCTAGCCGCCCTGTGACAGTCTCATTGTCCCAGGTCGGCTAGAACTATGAGGGGAGTGCTTTTCACTCACCTCATAGTTCTAGCCGCCCTGTGACAGTCTCATTGTCCCAGGTCGGCTAGAACTATGAGGGGAGTGCTTTTCACTCACCTCATAGTTCTCCTTTAATGTACAAGTAATGTATAGTCAAGCTCACAAAAGAATATTTTTTTACCTAAATATCTTTATTTAGCAATAAGCAGAACAACATTTTAGCATCATTTACAAAACATTTGTAATAAATCACCATGAGTCCTAGTTTAGCCCTTGGGGATTCCCAAATAAGGGACTAACACACCAATATATGAGGTTCCCTAAGGTCTGCTTTAGAAATCACTAATCTGTGGATATGTATCACACAGAATATGTGGAAAGTATCCCCTATGGGCAGCATTACCCCTTTAAAGTTAGAAGTGCGCATTGCTCATAACTGTGAGACGCAATCACTGTTGGAAATGCAACAGCATATTGAGATGTAATTATGTCTTTTGAGCACTAGATGGCACTGTGGTGCAATATTGGTCTCTATGCTCATGTGAACTTGTCTATGATATACAGGAAGTTCTATCTATAGATATGTTTCCTCTCTACAATGCTGTATACATACATGTAATGTCCTTTTAAGCAAGTAAAACATAATTTAGCATTCATGAAGATCTCAGTGCTTCATCTAAACACATAACCAACAGAGTATGGGCCCAGGCACTAAACAGAACACTGCAAGTAAATAAGACCCACATTCAAGCTACTGAAAGATAACAAGAAGTTCAGATATGAAGTTTGCAATCGCAAATCTCAACAATAGCAACTACTAGCTATGGAAGTTCAAGCTTGAAATGCTGTTTGGAAGCAAATTCTACACGTACCCCACTTCGACAGGCCACCCAAAGAAAGACCCCCCACCCCATGGAGCTCATACACAGCGATGTGTGCGGACCAATTAAAACTCCCACATCAGGCAGAAACAGATATCTACTGACTTTCATTGATGATTATTCCAGGTACACAACAACTTATCTGAGGACGCACAAGAATGAGACATCAGAAAAACTTGAAGAGTTTGTAACCATGTCCAGCAACAAATTCCAACAGAAACCAGGAATTTAATGCACCGACTCCGGAGGGGAATACATCAGTAAGGAATCCTATCTGAAGAAACAGTGTATAGTACATCAGACAACCACACCATACACTCCTGAACAAAATGGTGTAGCAGAATGGAAAAATTGCACTCTTGGCCAGATGCATGCTGTCAGATGCCAACCTACCTAAGAAGTACTGGGGAGAAGCAGTCATGACTGCAACATGCCTACATAGCAGACTGCCTTCAAAAGCCATTGAAAGCACCCCATTTGAAATGTGGCATGGATCGACACCTAGGCTAGGGCACATCAGAGTGTTTGGATGTAAAGCTTACGACTATATTCTAAAGGAGAAGTGATCCAAGTTGGAGAACACTGCTATAGAAGGTATTCTGATGGGCTATATTGAACAAAGTAAGGGATATAGAATCCTCCACCCAAAGATTGACAAAGTGACAATAAGTCGCAGTGTTTATTTCGAGGAGAACCCATCAGAAACAATGATCCCGGGAAGGTGGAGTGAATTTGCCCAGTGAACCAGCAAAGAAAGCTGAGCAAAGTGAAGCTGCACAGAAATAAGAACAAGAGGTGAACTCACAATGTATAATTCAAACTCCATGTTTAATTCTGCTGAACAATCTGATATTAGAAGATCAACTCCGGCGACAAAGGGAATACCACCCTGCAAGCTGTCATATTCGTAAGACACATAGCATGCTCTACCCAACATCGTGGGAAGACATATAAATATTACCAAAACGTGAAGCTTGATGCAGAAGGAAATATCCACAAATAGGAAAGAGGGGTTCACAAGAAGCACAGCAGATGCCTGTCTTTATTCCAGGAATCAAGAAGACAGATGGACATACCTCCTAATTTATGTTAAAGACATTATAACCTGTTTTGAACAAGAAGGGGACTATAGTCAAATAGTTCACAAACTAAAACAAAACTTTGACATTAAAGAGCTAGGAAACCTCAGTCACTATCTGGGAATTCAAATGGAAACTATCTTCTCAAACAAAGTCAGAAAATTGCAGAAATGTTGGAACAATTCCACATGTAAGAAGCAAAGGAAATAAAAACACTCATGGAACCAGGCTACCAAAAGAGCAAAGAAGCACAAAACTTGCTACCCAACAATGACATGTACCGCAGAGCAATTGGAAAGCTACTATACATTGCCACTGTGATAAGACCAGACATAGCGGCGGCAGTGGTTGCTGATTGCTGCGGGTGGTTGCTGCGCGTGCTGATTGGGCCAGAGACTGCACAGGCCACAAATCCACAAGTGGTTACATCTTACAGT